GGCTGCCCAGGGCAGTGGTGGAGTCCCCATCCCTGGAGGTATTTAAAAGACGAGTAGATGAGGCACTTAGGGACATGGTTTAGTGGGCATGGTGGTGTTGGGTGGACGGTTGGACTCGATGATCTTGGAGGTCTTTTCCAATCTCAATGATCCTATGATTCTATGATTCTAATACCCATAAGCTGACCGCAAGGCGGAGGGAGATGTATGGAGACCCCAGGCTCCTCTCCTGAAGCTGAGGATATCCCCAAAGCCCCGGCCCTTCCTATGCAATCGCGGAGGGATCTCCAGCACCACTGTGCACGGTGAAGGACAGTGAAGCAGCTTTTCACCTCGAGCCAGGATAAACTGCACAGGTCAGCAGCGCTTTAACAGTCCTGCTCATGCCCCGAAGGTGGGAGTTTGTGTTTAGCTCTGGATTCATACCAAAGGCTTCCCAGTCTGTGCAGTAACAAGCAGAAAGGATTAGTCCTGTGCTGCTTCCAGGTCACCTCAGCACCGGACTGAAAGCAGCCGTGTAGACATGCTTTTATTTTAAGTTACACGTGGGACTCCCATGCCCTGGTAGCTTCCGACCTAGGAGAGACCCCTCTTCTCTTTTGGAGGGGTTGGTGATGTGGACCAGTGCAAACCGCTGCAAGGGGAGAATTAATCTTCCTTATTATGAACCTTTGCATATATCTATGAGAAGAAAATGTCATTAATTAGACTTTCAAATCATTCTGATATTGAAATCACCTAAACTGCCAGCATTAATAAGACACGCAAGTAACAGCCTGGACAAACTCAGAATGAACTCACCACCAGAGGTGAGTATAAAAATTCAGGTCACCGTATCTAAACACCCATGCAATCCTTCTCGTGTGCAATTGCCTAGAACAGGCTGTCATCAAAAGCCGCCTGTTTGCATCTGCACAGATAGTTCCAGGCTGTTTCCATCATGCAGGGACTGAACAACCTTGAACTTGCACCACCAAAGTAATCATGGGCAGGATGGTACCAAACAGCTATTCATCTCCTCCAAGGAGAGCCCTGGAAATGTCCGATGACCTGATTTTCATGCTTTGCTCTTCTTCAGAGATAAAGCAGCTGGAGGCTAAGGAATCGGCGTTTCTCCAGGTGAGCGAGACCTGTGGTTCTGCATCAGAGCCCGCACCCACCCGCCCGGTCCAGCGTCCCCTTTTGGGGAGCGGCCGTGGCCAACGCAGCCGGCAGAGCCCCTCTTCGGGAGATGTCTGGTATTTGCTGTCAGCGTGAAGAGCCCTTCACCTTCTTACCACTGCTTAGAAGTTCGCTTTTGCTTGGAAGCTCGGGGGTTTGTAGACAGCCCTTCTCAGTCTCACAAATACTCTCAGGGTAAATGCTGGATTTAGGGAAGTGAACGTGCCCCTGTACTCGGCACTGGTGAGGCCGCCCCTCGAATACTGTGTTCAGTTTTGGGCCCCTCACTACAAGAAGGACGTCGAGGTGCTGGAGCGTGTCCAGAGAAGGGCAACGAGGCTGGTGAGGGGTCTGGAGAACAAGTCT